TATATATCAGTTAAGTCCATTTGATCTAGAGCATTGTTCAATGCCACAATATCTTTTTTGATATTTTGTTTGGAAGATCTGTCTATTTTTGACAGTGGGGCATTGAAATCCCCTACTATAATTGTGTTGCTGTCAATATCTTTCTTGAAGTCCTCCAAGATTTTCTTTATGTACTTTGGTTCTCCTATATTGGGTGCATATATATTTACAATGTTTATGTCTTCTTGACGGATTCTTCCCTTGAATATTATGAAGCAACCTTCTGGGTCTCTCTATATGGCCCTTTTTTTGAAGTCTTTTTTGTCTGATATGAGTATTGCTACCCTGGCTTTTTTTTTTCCTGTCCATTTGCTTGGAATATTTGTTTCCTGCCCTTCACTTTCAGTCTGTGTAAATCTTTTGTCCTGAGGTGGGTCTCTTTTAGGCAGCATATGTGTGGGTCATAATTTCTTATCCATTCAGCTATTCTGTGTTTCTTGATTGGAGAATTTAATGCATTTACATTTAAGATTATTATTAATAGGTACTTCTTCATTGCCATTTTTACATATCTGTGTTCCTCTCTCTCTCACTCTTTTTTTTCCTCTTTCTTAAAGCAGACCCTTTACCATTCTTGCCAAGCTGGTTTGGAGGAGATATATTCTTTGAGGCTTATTTTGTCTTGGAAGCTCCTTATTTGGCCTTCCATTTTAATTGAGAGCCTTGCTGGATAAAGTAGTCTTGGTTGCAGGCCTCTGGTTTTCATCACTTGGGCTATGTCTTGCCATTCCCTTCTGGCTTGGAAGATTTCCATTGAGAAGTCAGCTGCTAGTCTTATTGGGGCTCACTTGTATGTTACTTCCTGTTTCTTTCTTGCTGCCTTTAAGATCCTCTCTTTGTCTTGGAATTTTGCCATTTTAATTATGATGTATCTTGAAGTGAGCTTCTCTTGATTGGGACTCTCTGTGTTCCCTGGATTTGTATGACATTTTTTCTCATCAAATTAGGGACATTTTACATCATTACTTTTGGAAACAGGTTTTCTATCCCTTTCTCTTCTTCTTCTCCTTCTGATATCCCTATTATATGGATATTAGTATGTTTCATGTTGTCCTGAATTTCCCTTAACCCCTCTTCATTCTTTCTGACTTTCTTTTCCTTTTCTTGCTCTTTCTGGGTTCTTTTTTTTTTCTATCTTGTCCTCCAGCTCATTTATTCAATCCTCTGCTTCATCCAGCCTGCTTGTAATTACTTTTAGTGTGTTTTTTATCTGATATTTTATTCATTTCTTCCTGGTTTTTGTTTATAGTTTCTATTTTCTTTTTCATGCTGATGTAGTTCTCACTCAGTTCCTTGTATTGTCTGTGAGTTCCTTGAACATCTTTATAGCCATTATTTTTAATTCTATATCTGATAGTTTACCTCCATTTCATTGGTATCTTTTAATGAGGAGTCTTCCATTCCTTTTGATTGCATGTTCTTTTCATGATCCTCATTTTATGTGACTCTTTTTGCTTGTTTTTGTGCTTCCTGATATTTTGCTTTGCTAACTGTCTTTGTAGGGTGCGCTTGCATGGCAGGAATTCTATGGGATTCAGTGGTATGGTCTCTTTGATCTCCTTGTCTGGATGCTCTAGGTTTGCCCTTTCTTCTGTTTGTGTGGGCTCTCTTGTTGTATCTTTTGGTGGTTCCTTTGTTGGTGGTTTCTCTCCTCCAGTGGGTATACTGATATTTGTAGCTCTCACCTATTCTTGTATTTGATCAATAGCAGGGCGTAGGATTAAGAGAGTGGGGACAGTATTCTATAAGATTTACAGTTCGAACAAGTAGAGAAGAGATAGGAGATTTTTTGGATAAGTATAGCATTAACTGTGATATTTCACCCAACTAGCCACTTTTTATAATAGGTGAAAGAGAGATAAGACTCTTATTAGAGGGAAGGAGGATTGTGAGCTGAATCCAGAAAACAGGGTACTTGTGCAAGGTTAGATGATGAGATATAGTGAGATTAAAGAATAGAAAGTAGGTACAGTATGTGAGAGAATAGAATTAACCACAGCAATAATAAAGCTCAGGAATAAAGTGAAGTGGGCTAAGGTCAGAGAGGGTTGCTGTGTAGTATGCATAATTGCATGGAACAATAATTATTTACGGTAGTACTGGAACAAGAAATGTATGATTTGGATAACCAGAATAGGAAGTACATGATCAAGAGTAGTGTGTTATTGCTACATGAGTGAAGTGAAAGAAGGAAAATTAAAATACAATAAAGAGAGAATAAGGGAAACCAGTCAGATAATGCAATTAAACAGAGAAATAAAATGAAGAAAACTAAACAAAAAGAAAATAAATAAAAAATACTAATAAAATAAAAATGATAAAAATAATGAAAAATAGTAATACAAATAAACAATAAAATGCCAGTTCCATGGGACAGCAAAGTGACATTTGTCTCAGTTTCTCAGTTTTGGGGTTAACCTTGTGCTCTCCCTTTGGATCTGTCTCTGGACTTTTCATAACCCCATGTCTTATTTTCTCACTTGGGGGAAGAAAAAAAAAAGAAAGAGGAAAGAAAAAAATAAGCCTTCTGCTAACTTTAAAACCATTGAGCAAGTTCTGCTGGCTTCCTGGATGCCACAGGAAGAGGGGTCTGGGCTTTTCTTTTCAACCTTTCTATAGTTTTGAGAGGATGGGGATCAGGTCTGGGCCAAAATATTAACAGTTGCACAGCCTCCAGCCCAGGTCCTCTGTGAGTTGCCAGGCCTCCACTGTCCATCTGTACCAAGCCTGCATCTTTAATTCACTAGTTGTGATGAGGTCCATGTGGTATGCCTCCTCCTTGCTCTTTATGAGCCCACTGTGGGTGGAGCCCACCACCAGGCAAGCAGCATCAGTCAGCCTCCAGGCATGGCACCACTCAGCCTCTGGGCAAGCAGCAAGAGTCAAGTGTGGGCATGTGGCTCAAGTCAACCTCAGGGTGAGTGGTGCCTGACCAGCCAGAATCAACCTTAGGGCCAGTGGGGCAAATCTGCTGCCCAGCAAGGTGCCCGAGCCAAGTGTGGGTGCCAAGTTAATAGTCTTTATTATATGACTATACATAAGAAACAATGATCAATATGTATATGTGAATTTGTAAATCTCAGACATTTTGTGGTTATTCACAACACTGTTAAAATAATAACCTCTATATTTTCAAAATAAACTTATCATGTCAAGGACTTTGCTTCAGTATAACTAATGTATTATGTTTGATGCATATTTAAGTATAGAATAAATAATATATGCAAATATAAACAGTTTAACCGATGAAAATTTCAATTCAGAACAGTAGTGTGGGTTATTCATAAGGATCTTATTTGGAATGTAGCTTATTTCTTAGTTTCATAGTACTAAAGATTTAACATTCAGAAAGCATATTTGTTGATAAGAAACAACATGCTTTATTTTTTAACACCAATCTCTATCTTTCAGACCTTTTGTTAATCCAAAGTTATCTTTTGTTGTCATATTTCCTTTAAGATAATTTATCATTTATCTACATAGAGAATGTCTGTATCTATATTGAAAGTTAATTTGACTCTTGTGGTTTGTTCCTTGCCAATTTGCATCAATATCCAAACTTGAATTGTAGCCATAAACCTTTTAAAAAATATCATGATGATTGATGTGATTCCATCATATCTTTATCACATGTTTTATAACATTTCATTTTAATTTTTGACATACAGAATTCTATAGATAACATAAAGATGCACCAAATGATAAAATGTTATCATTTATTTATGTATAGCTATATCTGCATATGAATTAATCATTTGAGATGTAAAAAAATGGATGTTAAATGAAAAATGTAAAACAGAAATAAAATCCTGTCTAAAGAGCTGCCAATTCTTGTCTCCCTTCTCTCTTTTTGAGGGCCATGGGCTGACTTGCTCTCCTTAGAGGCCCCAGTTACCTGTGCTATACAGAAGCATGGCTGCAGAAATCTAGACGGCAGCTAAGTACCTCACATTACATTGAAAATGCTCTTTCCTCCAAGGATCTAAGCATTTAATGAGAGTGATGGCTGGTACTTGCACAGAGCCAGGGTGGCAGTGTAGATTAGATGGTAAATCTCAGGAATAAGTAGAATCCAGGGAATAACTAGGAGCAGCTATAAATCTATGTCTGTTCTAAGGGCAATCCATGCTGTCACCATTTCCTTGAGATGCTTCAGAGCCTCTTCTTTTTCCATTCCATTGATGATAAAATAGGGGACATATTCTGATCATTACTTTTAAAAGATTGTGATGAAATGTGAAAGCTCTTTTGAACAAAGGCTTAAGTGGTTCAAAATCAACTTTTAGATTTCCATGTACTTTAATGTACCTTGTCACACAAGGAGCTTTAACAACCACTTAACTTGCTGTTTATTAAACCTAAAACCATCTGGGAAAGTTAATGGATACAATAGTAAACTATTGATCATAGATATTGTTAACTGACAAAAAAAGAGAGAAAGAGAAAGAAAACTGGATGTTTTTATTGTTACTTTACAATTGTTACCAAATGTTCATTGTGAATATTCTGATACTGAAAGTGACCAGAGCAAGAGGGGAGGAGAATTTTGTGTGAAAAAAGGGGAAGGGAATAGTCAAAGCACATGTATGAGTGACCCATGGACATGGACAACAGTGTGGGGATTGACTGTGGGAGCAGGAGGTGGGGTGGGCGGGAGAGGGCAAAGGGGGAAAAATTAGGAAAATTAATAAATTAACAATAAAAAATGATTTAAAAATAAATACAAATAGTTGACACACAATAAATAAACAAATAAATCATTGAAGTTTTGAAGTTAAATAGAACTGAGTGCTGTTTAGAAAATATTGTAGAGAATTGTGTAATAGAGTTTTGTAAGAATTCAGTTTTTTATTAAAAAGTAGAATGCATTCAGACGAGCATGACATTCTTCAGAGTAATTAATATTAATTATATCATGATTAAAGAAATGTTAAGCATTTTCTCCCTTCTGTTGTTTTCAGTGGTTGCTGGCTTCCCCTGCTTGTGCCATCTGGGCTCTGTGCACCTGAGATGGGAACGGGACCCTGATGGCTGCATCCCGAATGCCTGTGAGCACGATTCTCCCTGCAAAGATCCGCTTCCTGTTAGTATCAATGAATATTATTAATATATCTTAATGTGTGCTAGCATAAATTAACTGCTACAAATATAATTAACTGTGGTCTAGGTGGCTTTTTAATATGTATAAATACATACAAATACTTATTAGAATAGAAAATGGAAGCTCAAGCAGTATTTTTTTTACTTAGTTGTAAAAAATGTTCTATTCACTATTATATATAGGTTGATATAAATAAAATGAATCATTCACTCTGATTTTACAACTCTTGGCAATATTGAATTTTTGTAATATTTCAGAAATTATTCTGAAAAGTATTGTTTTCACACAAGCACCTAGTTTTACCTAACTTAAGGTATTGTGTGCACACACAGAATATATAATCTTGAATTTTATTTTGATTTTCATCTCATGCTGTATGCTTTCATTGTTTTCTTCATATCTCTGGGTTGTTGCTGTCCCTTCAATACATATCCATTTGTCACTGCCTTTGTCATAAGCATGTGCTACTCTGCCTTAAATGGACTGACACAGTTGGCAAATCAATGGGATCCCCTTGGGCTTCTCATTTTTCAGAAAGTCTGACATAAAAAACATCTACTCAAGGTGGATTCACTGACTGGCTTCAGAAGATAAATAGCAGACAACACAGGTTAATGCTGCAATGCTAGTACAGGTTTGTAGTCTATTCTTTAGCAACAGGGCCCATTTTCACAAAAGGACTACACTAGTTGAAGTTAGAAAAAATGCTTTGCAAAACATATTTCTTTTCATGTTCTTATTTTGACCATCAGTGTACTCTCAGTATTTGTTTTTATAATGAAAGTGTCATTTGTGGCAAATTGCGTCTTTCCCACAAGGAAGGCAGACACCTAAATGAAGAATTATAACTAATGTTTGGATAGCTATGTTTAGAAACTGATGCAGACACTGGCCCGCAGTGTCCATGTCATTATGGATGAAATGAGACATCCATACGGACTACTGAGTCTGGTGTAGGAAAAGGGACAGCATGACTTTTCTCTCAAGGGAAGCAAAAGCTGAGGCCTCTACCATGACAGGCCTTTATTGGGTTTCTCCACCCATTACATGGTGGTTCTCATTTACTATGCACAGGTTCACTTTAGGTGGTTACCTTTTACAGAAAACAAAGGAGCCAATGCTGCTAATCACATCACAGAAGAGGGATATTTGCAAATGAAAAGGCAAAAGTGGTTGAACTAGTTACACTCATCTTTGGAAGGTTTAGCATGGATTTTAGGAAGTTAGGACTTTGCAGTAAATGTCCTCAATTCAAGGTGAGGGAGTTTTAGCAAAAAGCAAGATTCATAGTGTCCTAGGTACATTGCAGGCCTGATTCCCCATGGAAGAACCTATCTATGGGCATGGGTCCTGTGCATCTCCCAGACACCATGCAGAACAGTCTCCTACAAGAAACAGAGATGGTCCGTTAGTTATCCAACTACCCTTTTGACGTGTGTAGTGGTCCTGATGCCTCATCTTAATTCATATCAGATGCTTTGTGTAAGTCAGTCATGCTAATCCCGTTCACTTTTGGAGGTTTCTGTAAGAATGGGTATGAGATGCTATGCTGATTTTTGAGATGAGATTGGAGTTATTTCTAGGGAAAGCAAGTAGGATGCAGGTAAAAAATAATAACCTTCTAATATCTGGAATTTATACATGTAATTGCTGTTGCTATTTTCAGACCCTAAGGACAGGAGTGAAGTTCTGCTTAATAATCAGTGACTCTGAAGGTAGCAGAGCTGAGAGACAGAAGAAACCTGGCCTTTGATCAGTTGTTGAACTGCTTGAACCCCCCCCCCGCCCACACACCAGTCCCCTGCCCCAGGTGCCTGCCCAACCTTTGGATCTAATTATGTGAGATTACTTATGGCCAATTTTTAAACATGTCTTGAATTAGAGTCCCTTTTACTTGCAGGTAAACCATCTAATTTCCATAATGTGATTAAACTTTATTTTAGTCTATGATTTCAGCTATAACTTCAGCAATAGGAATTTATTATAGCAGAAAGAGCCTTATACCCCAAATTATAAGACTCAGGTTCCAACCCTGACCTTGTCACAACTTCTCTGAGTAACATTATGCCAATCATTTGAAAAGTTAAGGGCTGCAACTTCAAATAATAGAGCTTCCAAGTATGGAATTCTCTCATTTATCCATTTTATAAATTGCCAGTGAGAAGTTATGCAGACTAACTTTAGACTAGTATTAATTTAAAATCTTGCCTCATACTTTCAAAAATTATATAATAGGGATTAAAAAATAAGAATTAATATTAGGTGGAACTCATAGAACCAGAGTGTAGAACAGTAGTTACCAGCAGCTGGGGTTTGGGTTAAATAGGGATGCAGATCAAAAGGTACAGGTCTTCAGCCATAAGATGAATAAGTCCTGGGCATCTAATAGACAGAATAGTAATTATATTTAATAAGACTCTACTGCATATTTGAAATTTTCTAAGAGAGTAGATCATAAGCATGCTCATGACACACACTAAAAGGTCATTATGTGAGGTGATCTGTGCATTAATTAACCTTATTAAATATTCATATTTAGTTGAAATTTTTTCATAATGTGTATATATGTGAAATAATCATTTTGTGCACTTTGTCAATTATACCTCCATAAAGTTGGAGGAGAAAGAATAAAGCAACAAAGCTGAAAGCAGCAAGGTTGAAAAGCAAATTAAATCTCTAAATAACATTCACCAACTAGATTATCATATATTATTAATTGACTTAAGTATATTATAAAAGGAGATGATTGAAATTACTAAACTCCTAAGCACAATTCATATATCAATTATAAGACAAACATCATTCAATTGGTGATACACTTCTAAGAAAAGACGTTATGGAAACAACAACATGTTTAAAAGTTAAAGAATGTTCAAAGCATTTGGTAGCCTTTAGGTATTGTGTCTGGGGCCCCAACATTCCCTTCAGTTTGTGTGATTAACTAGGAGTCAGAAAATTCAAAGTTGAGGTTTCTAGCAATAAAAAGTAACTTATTTTTATTTTTAAAATTTATTTTTATTGATTTTTTCCATTACCATTTATTCCTTTTATACTCACTTTCACTTCTACCCCTCCCCCCACCCCACAATCACCACACTGTTGTGATAGATTGAAAGTAGCAGAAAGAAAGGCATGAAGGCCAGCCATGGAGGAACCACGTACAGGCTTCAGGTGTCTCCTCCTCATAAGATGTGTACACAGCACTTAAATCTCTCAAACATGATGTGGGACATCGAGACTGAAGTGTTGACAATCAGGAAGCTCACTCATAAGTGAGTGATAAAAGCCCCAGTGTTCAGGGTTTTTACTCGGGTCATGCACAGGGCATGGATTTCAGGAAACGTGTCTTCAGCTTCTGCAGTGTTTAAACTGATAGAGCACAGTCCAAAGCCCAGGTTTAAAAAACAGGCTTTCACTGTAAATCACATCATTAACAAAACCAGTTGGCATAGTCGAGGGTGTCCGGGATTAGGCCACACTGATACCAGTCAGGATATTCTGAGACTCAGAGGTTACCTTCTGAAAGCCAGTCCTTCCTTTGAAATATGTAGGATTTGAGTGCTAAGCCTGCTAAGTTAACTAGCAAATTTATGTTATGATAAATATTCCATTTTTGTATAGGAATAAATAGTGCATAATTGAGCAAATAATACACTGTATAACAATAAATTGAAACAAAAATCATTGCAAAACAAAAAGTCACAATTTCAAAATAAAGCAAGGCCCAATTTGAGTGTCATTATTTGCTTTCTTTCACCAACTCATTGGTAAAACACAAATCGTGAGATGTTTAAGGCTTTGAAGTGGGAGAGAAAAGAAAGGTTTGGAGTGTGGTGTTCCTGGAAAAATCTTGGGATAAACAGAAAAATTATTTTTCTCAATCTGCAAGGGACTCACATTTGGCTACAAGAGTCAGCAGCCTGCTTTTTGTATGGGTTGTACTCTCCAGGCTAATTTAGGTAATACCACAGACATGAGGCTTGCTTCTTCATTGAACTTGGTATGGTGCAGCTTTAAACTAACATCCACACATTTGCAGCATTTCCTTATGATTATATGTGACATCATGAATGTGAGTTTAAATAAAAAGCAAAAAATCAAAAGACTTTGAAATCAGAATGAGAAGTATTTTGTAACAATGAGCTAGTTTTCTTCTTTTCCTTTCTTTAGAGTTCACTAAACATAAGAAAATAATGAGAAACAGGAAATTTCTGATGCTCAGCACAAAATGAGATACAAATGTTAAGAATGGATAGGATAACATTTATTCCTTTACGTAACTTCTTAAGCATATTTGTGAATAACTATCTCTTTGTAGTTATTTAAATATGCATGATCAAATTATTCTGGTATTTTCTCTCTCATTTTACTTTCATTTTCCTCTGTTTCTTATATGAATAATGAATGCTTAATTTTGATAACAGCAGGAGATACTAAAATAGTGCAGTAGAACTAACATGAGGAAAGAAGAGGTTTTTTTCATATACAGCTATGTTAAAATTTATATACAGTATATGTACTGGCATACTACAGATATAAATTTTCTCCCTAACTCTCGGGTACAATAACCAAACTGAATTGATATTCTTTCTGGTAAAAAAATAGAACTGCCTTTGCTTTCACCACTATATGATTGAAAAATCCATGTTAGTCATTTGAGAGTTGCCCATTCCCTCCCTGTGGGATTATAGAGTAAAAGCTGGATAACAAGGGAACAGCCCTGCTCGCACTTCATTTTGGCTGCTACCAAAATGCTTGTTGTGTCATCCCCATGCTCCTTTCAGAGACAGCTTAAACTGCCAAATGATTCCAATCCTTTTCATATCATATTTGGCTCCCAGGATCTTCTACACCTCTAGACTTCATGGTGCTTAGCTAATCAGTGGTGAAGCCTCAGTTGTCCCTTCTGCATACCCACTTGGAACCACTAAAACCTCAGGTTCTACTCTCTCTCTAGGATTTCAAATACATCATCAGTGTGG